TTGAGATTGCTAACAATTTCAGCTTGTTTGGTTCCACAATCAACGCTCTTGGAACAGCAGTCAGACATCCAAAGACCAATTACAGTGGGAAAATCCACAGCTAGGAATCTCTCCAGAGTGCTGAAGAGTAATGATGTCAGTCCAGAGACTAAGGTGCACCTGATCTAGGCCATGGTCTTCGCAATTACACTTGCTATGCATCAGAAAGCTGGACAATGACTAAAGAAGGCAAAAGAATCAATGCCTTCAAGTTGTGATACTGAAGAAGATTCTTAAACATACTATGGACTGTCTACAGAACAAATAGGTCTGTCCTGTTATTGTGTTGCTGTTGATTGCATTCAAGTTGAGCACAACTCATAGCGACCCTATGAACAAAAGGCCTAAAGCCTTTCTATAACTATTGACATTTATCAAAGTTCATAAAGTCTCCTAAGGCATGTTATTTAGGAAGTGGATGCCACTCCTGCTTCCAAGAGGATGAAATGAAGTCGCTCCTTGAAGGCAAAGATTTTGAAGCTCCATCTCACTTTCTTTGGGCACATACATGGCCAAGAGGGAGCAGTGTTTGGTGAAGGACATCATGCTTGCAAGGGCAGGGACAGCACAGGAGAGGAAGACTCTGGCTGAACTGGCTTGACACAGTAACTGGGGTAACAGGGACAGGTTTGTTAAAATCAGTGAGACTAGCTCAGGATAAGGCAAGGTTTGGAGGTAATGTGCACAGGGTCACTATGAGTTATAGTCGACTTGATGGCACATAACTACAACAATGAAAGATAAAAAGGAAACCATAAGTAAATGTATAAATGTAATATGTTCCTATAAAAGGCCTACTTAAACCATGTCAGTTCTTAATTTAATAGTTATTAATTTGTAAGTTTACAGTAGTATCAATCATAATTTCAACAGGATTTTTCCTAAAAAAAAAAAAAATAGAACAAAATTACTCTGAAATTTTTCTGATTAAAACAAAATTAGTTGGGAGGTGTTATTTTTGTTGTTAGGTGTCATCAAGTCAACCATGACTCAGAGCCACAATATAAACACATCTGAATCTCTGAATCTTGCCATATGTGCCACTGTAATGATCTCCATCATGCTCAAATCTTGCAGTCAGTCTGTCAGCCCATCTCTTTAATACTCTTTCCTTAACTGTCCCACTACCTTTCTCAACATGATGTCTTTTTGCAAGGACTGACAACATGCCCAACGTATATGAGATGAAATTTCACCATTCTTGTCAGTAAGAATCAGTTCAGAGAATATGCAATACTCATTACAAGCATCATAGTTCAAAGGTATTGACTCTTCTTTCTTATTCATTGTCCAACTTTGAGATGCAGAGGAAGCAAGTGAAAATATAATGGCTTGAATCAGGTGTATTACAGTCTTTAAAATTACATTCTTGCTTTTTAGTACTTTAAAGATGTCCTTGACAGCAGATTTTCCCTCAGTGCATTATTTTCTTCTGATTTTCTGACTGTTGCTATCATTGCAGGTCGGGGAGTGGTGCAAATACTTAGGAAAAAAATGTAAATAAAGAACAAAGAAAAAGTATGAGAAAGTCCTATCAGAGTAAAAATGGTATTCTAAATCCGTAATTACTAATACAGTGTGGTGTTGCAAAACAGAGTGATGGAAAAGAATAGTCCAGGGGGAAAAAAAAATCATAGCAAGATACATAAATCATATGGACTCGTTCTCCAGAGAGAACAAAGCTTTAATACAAAGCTTTAATAAATCTTAAAGACAGCATTCTAAATTTGTGAAGGAAGGACAGTATAATCATTAAATGATGTGACTTTCCTTAGTTAGTTCGCCATTTACATGTAACAAAACAAAAGCAAAACCAACTAAACCCACTGCCACAGAATCAACTCTGTCCCCTTGTAGATCTGCAATCTATAAGGAGCAGAGTGCCACATCTTTTTTCATAGAATGACCAACTGATTTGAACTGCTGACCTTTGTGTTTACAACCAAGCATTTAACCACCACACCATTCAAGCTCCTTTCAAATAAATATATTCATACATAAATTAAATAATTGGCAAGAATGCCCACCATCACCTCTCTTATTCAATATTGTATTGGGAGTCTTAGCAATAGGGCTTTGATAAAATAGAACACCCTTTCCTGATTAAAAATACTCAACATAATAGGATTAGAGGGGAATTTCTTCAACACAGTAAAAAGTATACACAAACCCGAGAGTCAACATTCTTCTCAATGGAGAGAGATTAAAGACATTCCCTTTGAGATCTAGACAAGGATGCCCACTGTCACCTCTCCTATTCAATATTGGACACCTTAGCAATATCAATAAGACAAGGGAAGGAAATAAGAGGTATCCAAATTGGCAAAGAGGAAGTAAAATTATCTCTATATGTAGATGATATGATAGTACACTTAAAAAACCCTAAAGACTCAGCAAGAAAACTTCTGGACATAGTTGACCAATTCAGCAAAGTGGCAGCATACATGATCAACATACAAAACT